TAACTAGATGATAAATGTTTGATTTGCCAAAAAGGTTGGATTTTAGATGAATTATTCGAAAATTGCCATCCAATTTTTAGTGATCGAATTATTCAATGTGATCAAGACTTTTGTTAAATTTTTTAATTTGAAACTGTTTAAAAATATTAAAATGGAATTTATTCTCAGCCAGCTATAAGGATCAACAGTTTGAATGAAGGTTGTTTAGAATAACTAGATGATAAATGTTTGATTTGCCAAAAAGGTTGGATTTTAGATGAATTATTCGAAAATTGCCATCCAATTTTTAGTGAGCGAATTATTCAATGTGATCAAGACTTTTGTTAAATTTTTTAATTTGAAACTGTTTACAAATATTAAAATGGAATTTATTCTAAGCCTGTAATGAGGATTAACAGTTTCAATGAAGGTTGCTTAGAGTAACTAGATGATAAATGTTTGATTTGCCAAAAAGGTTGGATTTTAGAAGAATTATTCGAAAAATGTCATCCAATTATTAGTGATAGAATTATTAAATGTGATCAAGACTTTTGTTAAATTTTTTAATTTGAAACTGTTTAATAATATTAAAATGGAATTATTTCTCAGCCAGCAATGAAGATTAATAGTTTCAATGAAGGTTGTTTATCGTAAATCGATGATAAATGCCCAATATGTTAGCAAGGTTGGATTTTAGATGAAGTATTTGAAAAATGTCATCCGATTTGTGGTGATGGAATCATACAAGGCTTAGAAGAATGTGATGATGGCAATCTAATATCAAATAATTCTTGTCATTTATGCAAGTATTAATGTAAAGAATTTTGTTAAATTTGTTTATTTGGAAATTGTTTACAATGTTAAGATGGATTTGTTTTAAATAGTAATTTTAATTGTGATCCTTTATGTGGGGATAGTAATCTAATTCCTTATTCAAATGAATAATGTGAACTGTCAGTTAATGGTGTATGGGATAGATGTTAGGATTGTAAATTTATATCAATTCCAAATTGTAAAACTGACTCATTTCCAATTTGTTTAGAATGTGAAGTCGGATATTAAATAATAGAAAACGAATGTTTACCTCATTGTGGAGATAAAATCATTCTTGAATAATATGAAGATTGTGATGATGGTAACTTGTAACCTTATGATGGTTGTTATTAATGCAAGTTTCAATGTATTGAAGATTGTAACATATGTGATCGAGGATAATGTTTCCTAAAATGTGAAAATGGATATAAATTTGTTAATAATAGTTGTCTATCGATTTGTGGTGATCAAATTGTCACAAAAGAAGAGGAATGTGATGATGGTAATTTGCAACCTTATGATGGTTGTTTTTAATGCATGTATTCTTGTCCTAAAAATTGTTACAATTGCTATTAAGGTACTTGTTTAGAGTGCAATTATCAATATTAATTACTCGATTCAAATCAATGCAAATAATAATAATTAAATTGTGGAGATGGATTGCTTTAAGGATAAGAAGAATGTGATGATGAAAATTATTAAGCAAATGATGGATGCAAGGATTGTTTAGTTGAATAAAATTGGATATGTATTACAAGAACAATAGATAAGCCTAGCTAATGTGCATTCAACAAAGCTCCAAACTTAATAATTAACTATCTCAATATGACTGAAAATAAATAATACGTAAGTATCTAATTTGATTAACAAGTTAAAATAAAAACAGCTTAACCCTTATCAGAAACTATGAATTTTCAATTATCAAATATCAATAAGAATAAATGGAATAGCAGCTTATTTATACTACAAGATGTTGGATCAGATGTTAGTTTTGGAGAATTTATTGTCTAAATAGAAATATAATAACTACTTGAACTTAGACCAGTGTTGAAAATTTCAATAAATCAGCCAGTTATTAATTTAGATAATGCTGCTTTATTAGAAATTGAGAAATCGATAACATTGCAATATCCGACATTTCTTAATGAAATACAGACTGAATATTCTGAAAATTTTAAAACTCTAAATCAAATTTTAATTTATTTTTTGTTTGGGATTGCTGGTGTCAGTCTAATATTCGGTAATGGAGATTTATTTATTGAAATTTTGGCAATCCTTGGGTATGAGCAATACTTAAGATACATTAATCTATAATTTCCGGAAAATCTTGAAATTTACTTTTCTTCTTATGATTTGATAACTATTCAACCTCTCTTGGATTTAATTTAATTTCCTCAACTTTTACAGTTTATTGATATTTAATCAAATTAAGAATATTCTCATGGAAAGTTTAAAATGTATAAATTATGCTCGTCAATAATCATTAATCTTTAATGTCAAATTTTCTAGTTCTTAATATTTTTATTCCTTATTTTGTTATATCAATACGTAAAAAAAATTTTATTTAATTGGATATTTTGCTCTAAATACTTTTACTATACGTCATCATTATCAACATATATAAATTCAAAATTAGTTTTTTATTTAAGTTAATCATTTTATAATATTTTGGTGGATATCCTTAAATTGGAAAAATTTATGTCTTATTAAGGGTTTTAAAAAGCCTTACTCTTAAATGGCTGGGATATGATATTTAAAACATTATTATAAACAAGAAGCATTTAGACTGAAAATTATATAAACATTGTAGAAATTATCATTTTAAGCATAATACTTTTCTTTTATTATACTATTTTGTTAGATTGTTTCAAAGTTTAATAATAAAAATAAAAAAAAGAAAAGTTTGAGATACTAAATTTTGCTAGATAATTTTTGTTTTTGTTCTTCTTGATCTATCTTTAAGATTGCCAAATATTGTAATTAGGAGTACTCTTTTCACAAGCATACTTTAGATTAAATTGTTAGTTAATTATAGATTTATTTTAAGGAAACAAAATTATATTGTTTATATGGTGGTTGAGATATCAGTATTGACTTTTATCTTAAGTTCGTTTTAATATATTTATGAATGTATTGAATATTTTAATGAAGATAACAAAATTATTTTGGGATGGATTCATATAATTACTTTATCAACAGGCAAAATTATAGAGCTTATTTTTATCTGCAATGATTTATTAAGAAAATTAATAAAGAAATTTAGAAGAAAGCCATAAATTGTAAATAATCGATCAAATCCATTAGATTTATTTTAATTTAATTGATTATTGATAAATAATTTCACATTTAAATACATAAAATCATAAATTTTATTAACAATATATTTTTTTAAATATATTATTGCACAAATAAAGATACTAAGAAAAAATTTATTATTCTAATTTTGTTCCTAAACAAAATATAAAATTTAACAATTTTATTTTTCTTTTCTAAAGTTTTGATTAGTTAATGATGAAAAAATAAGTTAAATATATTATCTATTAAAAAAAATTTAAGAAATCTAACGAGGTAATTTTTGGAAAATAAGCCATTTTTTAGAAATTTTATTTAAATCAAAAACAAATTGTAATATAGTTGATTACAATATCTTTTT